ATCTTTTATTATATATATATATATATATATATATTTTATTATTATAAATTAGTCCTTGAGATTAGATATTTATTTATTATTTATGAAATAAGGCAGAATATTTTTTATATAAACAATCATATTAAATTATATTTTATATCATTATTCATATGTATTACTTTTTCTATTATTTATTGTAAATAAAAAAAATTGATGTTATGCATATTAAAAAAATTAGTTATCTGTGTTAAATTTTATTAATCTTATAATATTCTTTTTAAGTTGTCTTTGTTAACAATTGAAAGGTCATTATTAAAGGAAGAATATTTTAGAAAAATTATTACTAAATAAGACAAAAATTGTTAAAGCTTGTTTATATTTATAAACAAAAATTTATATTTTATTTCTTATAATAAATAATAGAGGGAGTAAGTTTAATCTTCACCTGTTAAAGTTTTTTATTATTCTATAATTCTTATGATTAAGATCATATAACTTTTATAGATAGACTAAAACCTGCAACACATTGATAATAATACATAGAGTTTGTTTGGATACAAGTTAGAAACGCTTTCGAGAGTTTCTCTACTAAAAATAAAAAGTATTTTTCAATAGAAAAGTTCTCAAAAGTACTTATAAATTTATATCCAAACAGACTCATAAAATAGTTAGTAATTTGATATGACTATGTAAATACGAGGATATAAAAAATATTATGTCATATTTCATGATTCGTAAACAAATTTTTAACCTTAAAGACTAAATTATAAAAATATAACAGGATGAAAGACTCAATTACAATTTTTTTAGTATAAAGACTTCATTAAAAATTTCTAAAAAACCTCATAGCTTGAATGATGTGTTAATCCTTTAATTAAAACTAATATATTTTATTACATAATTAAACAAATAACAATGTTAACAAATCTCAAAAAGATGTTAACTATATTTTTCATTCAATATATTTTTATGCTATCATTTATTATATCAAGTACTATATAAATAATTTTGAAAACTTGTAAGACCCGCAATGCATAATGCATTCTTTTTCTTCCCTTTTCCCTCAACATTCTCATTTTCTCTTTCACACACTTAATCCTTCTCTATTAAGATTCTTCTCAGTTCTCACTGTCATTGTTCTTAT